TGGTTTACCATGGAACTCTACTCTAGCCTAAAAGGTGGGAACTTCAACAGTAAAAAGGGGTTCTCAAATTATCTTCCACTTTTTATCAAACACATAACATGAACAGTAATAGGTAAAGTTCCTTCTTCCTCTTCTAACTTTGCCCTTTGAGTTTTCCACTAAGAAATTGTGGTTTATATGGCCTATCTAGTGAATTGATGGATGGTGATGTATCCTAATCAAAATCCAATGAATGAATTAGCTAATGGGACCTATTATAACAAGAAGACCTAAATGTTTGGAACCATAGATATTTATACCACACCAAATCGGTGGGCTTATTGGTGCTTTAGCCGATATGATCCAAAGTTTAAAACTAAGTTCAGATGAAAATCATGCAAAAATGATGATTGACCAATTTTGGTTTGTTAGATCAACCGATTTTGATATGTTTCACCAGCTAAAAGAAGTTGGGCATATTTTTAGTAATTTTTATATTTTTTAACTATTATAATAATTCTTTTTCTAAAATTCAGTGCAACTAGTTTGACGAGTGGTTAGACCATTTTTTACTAGATCAAACCCCTCAATGGTTCAATGACTGGTCGGGTCTTGTTAACACTGGTCGAAATAATGGTAATACACAAGTGACATTATTGAAAAGTAGATGTATATAATGAGATAATGCTCTTTTTGAAATAAGGAGGTCACAATCATGAATGACCCTTAGATGCAAAATCGGGTGACTTAAATGTGTCATAAATTGAGCACAAAGTCCCAAAAAAAAAAAACAAAAAAAAATTTCTGAAATATTGTGACGCTTCGATATTGTAGGATTTCACATCCGATGCATGGTAATCTCTTTGTACTAACAGCAAAAGGTCTTCTAAGTGCGATTTATTTATGGGTGTGCTTTGTAAAGAGCCGAGGTTCTAAACAATCAAATTAGAGCCCACCTTCAAATAGTAACGAGAAATATGGTTTTAATATTGAAAATCTTTGTGATAGCCTTAACATAAATTTTCATCTTTAATTATAAAATTTAAAGCTTAAAAATAATGTAAATTGAATAGATCTATAAGCACTTGAAAATCTTGAAAATTGACGGTCCAAAAATGCATTACAAGATGCACTTTTTCCAAAACTTGAAAGCCACTTTTTTTTCATGTCCATGCATCTTGATGTCGAGATGATCAATTTGAAGATATTTGGGTATCAAAACAATCTCTTTTAATAAAATTTTAGAGATAGGCTTTAATTTGATTGTTTAGAACCTAGGATCTATCTAAACTTTTCCCTTTATATAATATGTTGAAAGATCTAGCCTCGCAATGACCTAAAACTCTATTTTAAATCTTAATTATAAAATTTAAAGTTTTACAATAAGTGCAAATATAGCCGATCAATAATCACTTAAAAATCTTGAAATGGATGGCTTCAAATAATGTGTTACAAGATGCACTATTTTTAAAACTTGCAATCCATTTTTTTTTTTTGTATCCATACATTTCGAGGTTGAGATAATCAACTTGTGGGTTTCTGATCATTAAAACAACCATTTTTTGTCGGGTTTTAAGGTATATCTTACATTATAATATAAAGTTGAAACTTTATTTAAGGTGTACCTGTGGGTTATTAAGTGGCATTTTATATGAAGCAGCAATATTATTTATAGCAATTAACACTATTAATTTTAGTTGGACAACATCAATTTGACACTTAACACAATGTCAAATTTACATCGTCTCGTTAAAATGAATGCTTTAGATTGCTGCAAACATACTTTTACAAAATTGATGCCTTATATGAACTTTGTCTCACTAAGAAAAGCAAAGATATCATATGTCTAGCCCAACGCCCTAAGTAGGTGGTCTAGCCTCTTAAAAACATAATTAAGCCGATTTTTTATCATAAAATTCTCATATAAATATTTTATATCGTTTTTTATTCACCTTGTTAACAAGAAACGGAAAAGAAAGATTTGAGCTTTTAAAACTCTAGATTTATGGCCCCCAATTGGGATTTCTGATTTAATTTTGGAGGATGTATTGATTTCTAGTTATAATTTATTTTTTTTAAAGAATAATGGACTAATTTGAAAATTTCCACAAAAGAAAAAAAGCCCTAGATCTTGTTTTTCTTCTTTTTCATTTTTTAGGTGGGGAGAGAGGAGAAATTATTTTGTTCTAAATATTTTAGTATTTTTATTTCATGCACGATAGAAAATACATGCATACCCTTTCAAATTAACATAGTTTTTAAATAAAAATAAAGAATCATACAAAACTCTTTTTAAGCCATTGGATGATACTTAGGGGTGGCAACGGACCCGGATCCGACTAGGTCCAGAGTCCTCAGACCCGGACTCGAAAAATTATCTATGTATTTAAAGGACATAGTTTATATAAGATTGCAACCTTAAAATGTAGTATTACATATACGCCTAAAAAATCCATCAGAAAATGTTGTTTTAATGTTGAAAAACCCTCTAATGATCATCTTGATATTGAGATGTATGAATATGAAAAGAAAAAGATTTTGAATCGTAAAAATAGTGCATCTTGCAACATATTATCTAAACCGTTCATTTTCAATATTTTCATATATTTATAAATCTATTTGCTTTTAACCATATTTAGAGTTTAAAATTTTATAATTAGATATGAAAATAGATTTTAAGATAATCCTAAGCATTGTTTACATCAAAATTACGTGTTATGATAAAATTTGGAGGTACACTTTAATTAGATTGTTTAAGGTTGCAACCTTATAGAAACCGCAACTATATATATATATATATATATATATATATATAGAAACTCTCCACTACACCAAACGAACGAAATAGAACAGTAGTATTACCTACCCTACCCTCTACTCTCTACTACCTAACTTTACTATTCGACACGTCACTACA